GATGCTGAGGAAGGCAGCGGCAAAGAGGTGGCACTGTGCAACGGTGGATGTGCGGACAGCCTTTTTGTTGGCACCCAGGAGAGAAGCTCAGTCTACGCTGTTGACTATGAGGCCTCCGAAGGTACTTCAAGAAGCAGGCATAGTTGGTCCAAACGAATGGTGGGAGGTGCGGAATGCCATGTATGGGCTTACATCAAGCCCTTCCAATTGGACTGACTACAGGAATGGTGTGCTCAAGGGCATCCAGTGGACCTGCAATGGACGCAAGTTGCAACTGCTGGCAACTCCGGAGCCAAACCTTTTTAAGGTGTTGACGGTGGATGGAAAAGACGATGAAGAGGCATTGGGCTTCCTTGCGCTATATGTGGATGACATGGCGGTTGTGGGGGAGCTGGACATGGTGAACACCCTCTTGGAGCGCATTCAGCAGGAGTGGAAATGTTCAAATCCTGAGTTTGTGGTGGAGGGTGCCTATGTCAAGTTCTGCGGCTTTGAACTGACCAAGCGAGGTGACCAGTTCCTTTTGAGCCAGCAGTCATTTGCACAGGACCTACTGGATCGGCATCCCGGAGTAGCCTGCAGAAGCACTCCTTTTCCTAGAGTTTTGGATGAAGAACCAGAAGATGAGGTGCGTATCCAAGATGTCCGTGCTGCCCAGGGCATTGTTGGCGAACTGCTGTGGCTGTCTTGCCGAACCCGACCAGACTTCAGCTATGGGGTGTCGTGGATGGGAAGGATGGTGACGAAAGCTCCACGTCGAGTTTGTCAGTATGGGGAGCATATGCTTGGCTACCTCAAAACCACGGTGAGCATGGCCCTACACTATGGAAGTTGTGAACCTGGCCAAAGAGGTGAATCCGAACTGGCATTTTCCAGATCGATGCTCAGGTTGGAGGTTCATTCAGATGCCTCTTTTGGTCCGGCAGGTGGTCGTGGTCATCAAGGACTGATTGCGATGTATGGCGGCTGTCCCATCCAATGGGAGTCCAAACAGCAGGCTTTTGGAACCCTTTCGACTTCAGAGTCGGAGTTGTTGGGGTACACAGATGCGATGGTTTTGGGCGAATCCGTAACCTCAGTGCTGGACATCCTCGAGGGGAACAAGCTGTCTGAGGAGGGCGACAAGGTGCTCTACGGGGACAACCAGTCAGGTCTTCGTTTGCTTGAGAGCCCGGATGGACCATGGCGAACGAGGCATTTGCGCCTTCGCAGTTTTGTTTTGAGAGAGAGGATGAAATGGGGGTTTTGGAGAGGACGACATGTCCCAGGAGCGGAGCTGGCCTCAGACCTTTTGACCAAGGCGGTTACCGCCAATGCAGCCTGGAAGAAGTTCTATGGTTTCATGAACATGTTTTTGGTGGAAAATGAGCCGGCTGTAGCTAGTGGAATTTCCCCCAAAGTAGCTTGCGTAGTGGTAGGAACCATTGCAGCTTTGGGAGCTGTGGCATCACAGCCAAATGTGACGAAGATGGCCAAAACGGCCAGCGTGATAGGTTTGGCTGCACTCACAGCCTGGCTGGCGCGGAAGATGGGCCTAGGAGGTCACAAGAACACCGCGAAAAAAGACCCCAACAAGATCCAGTCCAAAGAGACATTGGGACACCTGGCGGCAGTGGCAGAGCTAGGGGCAGCTCGAAACCCTGTCGAAAAAAGATGCCAGAGGGAAAATGAACCCTGGCCTACAAGAAATGGTGTCAGGGAACATGAACCGGCACCAGATCCTGGAGTGAAGGAACATGAACTCACTTCAGTCTACAGTAGCCTTCGAGGCTCCCCAAACGCGCGGCTGGGTCGGGGCTCAAAAGCCATGGATGGTGGGCAGCTGAATGTAGCTGCGGAGCGCTTGGACTCCAGGCGCCATGGTGGGATGACTGGGATGCTGGGAGCGGCGCATGAACCTTCTGGTGGCCAGTTGCAGAAGATTGCCATCAGCAACACCTTGGCTCAGGGCGTCTCCGGCGATCCCGCCCCTTCCTTAGACGGTGGTTCTTTCGCCATGGCTGGTGAGATGCCGCGACTGGCGGCCATGCGGTTCCAGAGGGAGGAGATCGCTTACAACTTCTGGCCGTTGAACGAGGACCAGTTCGCGACCCCTCCTCGAGGTGCAGATCGATGGACGCAGTTGGGGAATGAATGGTGGGTGAGGTCGCATGGCCAGTGGCGCACCAAGACCTTCCACCCCATTCACACCAACATGCCCTTCAATGCCAGCGAGCTCCACCCTGTCCGGTTCACCTTGATGTTTTGGGACAACGGACAGGAGTGGGCTCATCGTTTTGTACAAGACCGGTGGTGCGATCCTCCTCGAGCACTTCGTGGTGGCGTGAGTGGCCAGTGGAAGGGCTACACCTTTGTGCGGCTTCAGCAGCCTGGTCAGCCGCCGAGTGCTGCGTCCTCTTAAACCGATGGGGAGCCTGCGCAACGGGTTCATCCGGGACCTGAGATCCAGCAAGCGGGAGGAGTTGCAGCCACCGCCGCTGGCCATGGACCTGGGTCAAAGGGAGGAAGGCAGGGAAAGGGAGTAGCAGACCGTGGGCGCATTGTGGCGAGCGATATGCTGCAGCGTCGGCCGCCATATCCTGGCATTCCTGGAGGAGCTGCTCATGAAAACCTTGGACCTTCGGGAGTACATGCAGGCGGCGATCAACGTGGACGAGGTCGCCATGGGCCGGTGAGCATCTCGTCCTACAGCGAGGTGCCTGAGCTCTCAGAGAGTGAAAGCCGAGAGAATGATCCTCCGGTCAACGCGCAGCCTGTGGTGCAGCCGTTGCCGGCAGTGGATCACCAAAGGCTGGCGGAGGCCATTGTGGCCGGGTTGCAGCAGGAGCACCCGCCTGGCAACATTCCGTGGCCGCGAGCTGTGGAAGATCCACCATTGAATGGCATCCGCCACCACCATGAACAGATGACCTCCAGAGTCATTGGGGGTTACTACAACCATGGAGATCGAGTACGGACCCCTACGCCTTCAGATGACGAGATGGCGATGCCTGGGGAGGCCATCGACCGCCTTCTTCATGGACGTTTTGATGGAGCTGATGGCGGGCCAGCGACTGGCCAATTGGGCCATGTGGACAGCGGCCCTGGAAGCTTTGACCTTGTGGAGGATGAGGTCAACTGAGAGCCGGGCTCAATGTGGTGCAACGTGCACCAGGGGGAGTGTGGTGATGGAAATACCACTACACTTTTTTGTAACCCCGTTTTCCTTTTTTCAAATGGAATTGGAAGCTGAAGCGCTTCATGGTCCTTAGGGATACAGAGAAGATTAGCATGGCACATAGCAGCTGATCTACCAACTGCAAAACATGGCTCAAGAAAAGAGCTTTGCTTCAGTGCAGGGCTCCCCGGTTGCTCAGTTTCAATGTCGTCTGACTGTTAAGATCTTTAGAGATATTTATGATTGTGACATGAGATTGTGAAAACACTCTGAATTGCGACCAAAACACCCCTTTCTCCGGGATGGATTTCGTGAATCTGCTGATGGCTTCCAAAGTTTGCTGCCCCAGTTCCACCAGAGTTTCTCCCTCCACCTTTTTGGGCGGAGCCACAGCAGCCTCTTTGGAGTTGCGCAGCCCCATCAGGCCACGTCGCCGTCGCCAGCCGACCGCCAGCGCCAGAGCGGAGCCGTGGGCCGAAAGCGCCGGAAGCGGCGAGGTCCGATGGCTTTGGGACGACGATAGCACCGGAAATGTGCGCTGTGGCAAAGCCCTAGGGAGGAAACCTTTCACAGCTTCCATCCGCCAGGGCAAATGCAAGTAGGATTCTCAAATGCGTTGAGTTATGTTGAGTTGGTATACAAGGCATTATAACATTCGTAACAGGAAATAACAAGCACATTTCGTTGACACAACATATTTGCCTTGAGCAGTTAAAACGAATTTTCCTCCCAAATGCAGAGCGAGGTATACTAGTAAGTATACTGTACAGTATATACTGCTGAAAATTATGAAGCTCGAGCCAACATGCCCGCTAAGCACAACGCAAGTGGAAAAACTGCCAGAACCAGGCCTGTTTCTGTCTGCATACCTCTTGGGCTTTATGTCGTACCTGTGAAGTAATGTCGTTGCTGCCAAAACATGCACGATTTCCATCTCTTCAAATTCGGAAAGATCCTTTCTTAAATCTGACTCGCTGGCAGCACTTCTTGGTCATGGAAAAAAAACAGGAGCCTGATGATTGGTCCCCAGTGTTGCCATGCGCGCAAACCGTCCCACACCTGCCTATCAGTCATTCGGGATTCGCCTGACAGACACACACACACACACAGACACACAAATTGATCATCAGCTTTGAGCTTGGGAGTTGGCATTCCAGTCAAAGTCAAATCCAGCATAATCTAACTAGTTTGCATCTGCTCTCCAACAGAAATTTCAATCACAGAGTGATGGACTCAGGAGCCCTGAATTTTACAAATTATGTATATAATTGAAATCTTATATACCTTGAATATCCTTGAATTGCCAATTGCATCAAACTGATTCGAGCTGTTGGACCCATCTTTGGATTTTGAAACACGGAAACACATAGAGAATGGGTAACAAACGTAACAGAGACTGGACTTATACAAGGAAGCAAGTTTGTGGACTTATAGACTTATAGACTTATACAAGGAAGCGTACCATGGTACCATGCCACGCATCCGCCGCAGCCTGCTAAAAGCAGAATTGGGCGATTGATGGGCCATTGTGTTACAATATATATATATATATATGTCATGACAGCTCAAGCAGGTGCAAGGTCAACTGCGAAGCTCTTTTTGCACGACCATCGCCCATGTAAGCGAGAGAGCTGGCCATTGCAGCTGCACCACGACGTCAGTGAAGGCCACGTAGACGAAGTTCCAAGGGCAGCTAAAAGGCAAAGGAGGGCCAGTAACCAGCAAATGGGCTGTACCAGGGCTGCAGAGCAGAGGGTGGCCGTGGGCTGGGCCGAAAGATCTGGCACCACATTCCCTTAATGACATGCCCTTCCATGTCATGACAGCTCAAGCAGGTGCAAGGTCAACTGCGAAGCTCTTTTTGCACGACCATCGCCCATGTAAGCGAGAGAGCTGGCCATTGCAGCTGCACCACGACGGGGGTGAAGGCCACGTAGACGAAGTTCCAAGGGCAGCTAAAAGGCAAAGGAGGGCCAGTAACCAGCAAATGGGCTGTACCACTATTGGGAAAAGCCGGCCTGCAGATAAGGAGGACGTGTGGGACTAACCACGTTTGTCTTGGCTCTGCACAGAGCGGTTCGCCTTGACCAGAAAAGGAAAGGTGGCACGCTGCGTCTCACATCAGCACTGAACTTTGCAAAAGTGTTGAGAGCTGCCACCTCTTGTAAGTAAGCTTCTAAAGTAGTTTGTGACCTCAGACGCATCAGCCATAGCAAATCTTGGACACCTTTTCCATTGCGGTAATGGAAAACAGCTGCACCAGCTCTGAGGCCTCCAGGAGTTAAAGCTGCCTCTTTTGTGATACCTAACATCTGCAAAAGTAGGTCCCATCGTTTCCTGTACTGATAAGCAGTGCCCTCGAACAAGGCGGCATCAAGGGGCATATGCTTAAAAATCCTGGAGACAAGCCTAGAAGCCGTGGTGTCTGTGATTTTCATGTGCTGAATTTTCGCCGGTTGGCGATTCCTGCTCTTGAAGTTTCGCAGCCGCAGGAAAGTAGCGCCACCAGCGTCTTGCAAAAGGTCTTCTGGTAGGAGAAGGTCTTCCCGGCAGCATCTCAGCACTTCTCCCAAACGTCCAGCACCGTAGAAAGCCAAAAGAGTCGCACCAACCCATGCAGTCCAGTCAAGCTGCCAAGCAAGGGCACACATAGCCTTCACTAAGACCTCGGGAACTGGAGCCCTATGCACAACTGGTGTTTGAGCTTCCCAACGTTCAACAAGCTCCCAAGCGCTACTCATGTATGGCCTGCACAAAGGTTTCCAACGTTGGGCCGCAAGAAGCAAATGGCGGTAGGTGCTTAGGCTTCCGCCTCTCTGAAAAACTAAATCACCGTACGTGCGCAGCACTACAGGGAGAAGTGCAGGCACCTTGTCAAAGAACCCCTCCGCACGCACAGTTTTCAGCTCAGAGTTGCACCAACGCAAAAACTCTTCCAAAAAACGACCTTCCATGGCAAGAGTGCGAGCAGTCTGAATCGGCAAGCTTTCCAAAGTAAAACGATCTTCACCTTGGCGGCGTCGAGCAGGACCAGGGTTGGAGGCTTCCCCTATTCGGCTGCAGCCAGCTCTGGCACACATCGCAACATTCAGCTTTTCCCTCCGGCACCACTTGGCCGCAGTGCACAACGCAATGGCCAGAAGCCGGCTGAGTCCAGCTGGGTAAGGCTGTGCCACCCGAGTCATAGGTATCTTTCTTACTGGGTGCATGCCTCTAAGGCGAACGTGCTGCCGCTTGCACTGGCACCACATGGTTTTTCCCGCTAGTGCGGTGTTGGTAGCGATGCGCGTCGCCTTCCTCCATCTGGTTCCAAACCTGCAAAAGCAGCACCTAAAGATGCGATCGCTCTGAGGAGACCTGTACGCACCCCACCTTTTTTGCCACCACCACCAGCTGGTGTCAGGGTTCTCCACAAAGTAGATCAACTCGACCTCACTTCCAGCTTCCAGGCAGTCACATACAAAGTCAGAGTGAGAGTTGCCCTGTGAAACTTTCAACCGCATGGAAGGCCTGAGCCCTGGCTTGCCTCGAGGGTAACACATGCTGCGAACAGGTGGTGTCACAGCACGGCTAAAAGAGGAGCATATGGGTGCAGCCCCAAACGTACTGAAAGCTCTCAACCGCAGCAGCCGCAAGATCCTTTCTCTGACTTCAGGGTTCAGTAGGTCCTCCTCAGTTGACCTGTTCCACTCAAACGTCAACACAAAGGGGGCACCCCATTTTATCATCTGCTTTGCAACGCCAAAGGAGCCGCTGAACAGGTCGATGGCGCCGGCACATGCAAAACCCTGAAAGTCCTTGCTGAACAGGAACTGCCGCTTCGGAAAAGAACGAAGCAGCTCTTTAGCTTCTTGAGACAGCAAACTCGGAACACCATCCTCGTAGAAAGGGTCAGGCACAGCATCAGGTAGATTGGCTGCACATGGCCGCTTTCTGAGCTTGCTTCTCCTTCTTCCGCCACACTTTGAGGCGGGCTTCAACACAACCCGAGAGCAGGAGCATAGCTCGTGAAAGGGTGGCTCATCTGGCAAAAAAGAAGAGGCTTGCTGTTGCATCCAAACATCAAAAAGGGTGAGGTCGCCTTCAACCATCCGCACATACCAAGCTGGCAGCTCAATGTCCGGGGGTTCAACTTCGGCACCTCTGGAAGGGGCATCCGCTCGATTGAACTGCGTCTGAAAGAAAAGGTAATTCCCATAGATATCGGAACCTATGGGGTAAGCTAAGTTTCTTTGCAGCTCAGCATTCAGCGCTTTTGACGCAGCACGTCCTTTCACCAAAGCACCAAGACATACCTGACTGTCTAGCCCGTGAAAAGTGCGGAGGTGTTGAAAGGAAGTGCACAAAAAACGCTCTTCTCGCAAAAAAGCCCTCAACTCCAAAATGTTGATGTGCAGTGGCCTCTCGACTCTGAGCCTCCAAGCTTCCTCATACTGGATGCCGCGAGCAATGACTTCCCAAAACGGGTGGCAAACATAGTGTTCGGCAGGAAGCTCATCACATTCAGCCAAAAGGTCATGTTGCCGCAGCCATGCTTTGCCAGGTGGTAAAAGCTTTGACCAGTTTCCCTTTTTCAGGCAGTGTCTGGCCAGCTCCTTTGCCACAAACTTTGGCAACACGCCACGCACACTCCCCATCCCAGACATAGAAGCATCAGTGGCGCTAATGCTGTTGGCATGCTGAGCTCGCAAATTGACGGCAGCAAGGGTAGCCACCACGCAAAGAACTTGCATTTCGTCCTTCATCTGAGTAGAAAGTCTCAAGACCTCTCGCGGCCTATCTGACATCCCCAGCGGCTCAAAAATGCAATCCAGCAGGCAGTAAAGACGCCGCCGCACGCTCAGCAAGGACACCCAGCAACCAGCTAAAGCTTCCATAAGCCCCACTGTGGCTAAACCCAGCATGGCAGTGCGCATTGTAATGAGCACTGTAGGCCACAGCCGTGAACTGGCGCAGCGGAGGATGCCCTTCACACCGTCAATCTCACAGCCCCAAAACTTCATCAAGGTTTCGCCCTCAAAGGCCTTTTTGGGATTGTTGAGCAGGTGAGCATGGGCATAACCTGCACGCACCCTTTTCACACGCTCAGCCGACTTTGTCTGTTCAAACCAACCATCAGCAGAGGAGCAGCTCCTGAGGACTTGCTCCAATATCACAAGATCATCCACAATGATCCCAACTTGCAGTAAGCCCCTGGGTATTGCCCCTCTCAAACTGATGACTTCATCGATCAGGCAGACATTGTGCTGCAAGCATAAGGCGATGTGTGCACACTGCGCAAACTCGCAAGCACATTTGTCTCCCATTGCCAAAGTGGACAGCCCAACCTGCATCGGAAACTGTGACCATTGTAACCCCTCACCAAAGATGTCTTTCGCTTCTGCTTCAGTCAAATTGCAAGCAAGCACATTGCGGGAGGTTCTCTCGGAGTTTACCACAAACTGGTAAAAGTAATCCTTCAGGTCCTCACCGCTGCCAATGAGGATTCTGTCATCCTCGAGGCAAATTCCAGCTAAAGCAGAGGCTGAAGCCATCGCAGCGCACCATTTGCTCTGCCCCTTATCCAGCAGATTCGCTGGTCTGCCGTCCAAAACCATCCTGTCTTTGTTCTCGTCCTTGTGAACAGCAAAAAGGCCTGATCTGTATTTGTCAGGGAAGGAGCCAGGCTCAAGGGGTTGAAGCATGCCGCTCTGAGCCATCTTACGCAAGAGCGCAAGCTTGTTTTCCTTAGTAGCCGGAATCTGCACTTTCGGGGGCACAGGAGCATTCGCTGGGTCCAGGCCATCGGTCAGCGGCTTGTCATACCGCTGCAAAGTTTCCTCATCAAAAAAGGGGCGGGGATTGAAACAAGGCTTGGCAAGAAAGGAGAGCCTCTCAGCTACCAGAGGTTTTGCAGCCATAACCGAGGTTTCACCAAGCGCCCCTACCAGAGCACCACATCTCATGTCACTGCCATCGCTCTCAAAGCTGTGCGTCAGACCAGTCCCAAAGTAGGAACTCTCCTCAACATGCAAAAAAGCAGCAGCTCTGCACAGGGCGTCCAGCTCATCTTGAAAGCCCTCAACCTTCGATGCCGCTCGCCCCATGTCATGAGCCAAAACTAATTCAGGTGAATTACCATCACGAGCCAAAAACTCCAGGTTCTTAACCACCGGCCATTGCCTAGAAGTCAGTCTCTGCCCCAACCTCAAGCAACCAGGCGCCTTTCGGGGCCTGTTCAGCACTAGCCAGTCAAAAACAACCACCTGCAGACAAACCAGCCGTTTCCATGGTGCATCCACAGCTTTGTGGCCATCCTTGACAAAAACTTCAGGGTACGGCAGCGGCATAGGCCAGATTGAAGCAGCGCGTGATGTGGCGCTATCTGCAGCACCAGGGTTCAGGATGGACCGGAAAAAATCCCGAAGGCAGCCATCAATCTTCAGAAGCCACCTTGGAAACGAATTCAAAAAAGCTTCCACACGCACAGGACAAGCAGCAGCGCCCGGCACCTTCTTCGAAGTGCTATCTTCCGCTGCAGAGGGAGCACCAGCGCCCCTCTTCATTCCGGTGCTGTGCTGTGCTGGGCAGCCGGGCCTGCTTTGGCCTTGGCTTTCTGCTTTGCCCGTCTTTTTGGCTCTGCATCTGACGTCAGGCCCTCCTTGGCTGTGCTCCGGCTTGAAGTCGCACTGAAGACCTTGCCCACATTCCTCCTTCGGTTGAGGTACTCGTCCTGATCCCTCAGGTGAGAGAGGCTTATCTCCGCCCAACGAGGGTCGAGCAGCTTGGAATACGGCAACTCGCCGTCTGTCACCACTGGCAGCCGATGAGAAGCCAGCGAAGCAAACGGAGGCGTCCCTTCCAGTGAAAGCTCTGAAGCGAGCACCCAAGATCCATGGTCGATGCTGCATTGATCCAGCATCAGCAAAAGCAGCGCCGCGCGTGCCCGCGCCCGGGCAACATCTTCAGCAATGATCGCATCCAAAATACCCGCCGCGCTCCAGGCACAATGGGCAGATGTTTTGAAATTGCCAATCTTGGATCTGAACTCCACCCAGCTTCTGGCATTCATGTTGTGCGCTGTCTGTCCAGGCCCCAGCGTTTGACTGTGAAGATCCTCCCACATCATCTTCTCTATGAGGTTGGCTATCTCGAGGGGATCTTGGTGGAAGGTCGACCTTAGGGCCCTGCGGGCTGCAGCATTCTTCTTTCCACCACCAAGGGTCGAAGACTCGCCAGTATGGCTGGCAGTGTCCAATGCCTGCTCGATCTTGGTCTGGCTGGCTTTCTTCTTTCTCTCCTCCGCAAGCATCTCCACAATTGCCGTGAGCTTGCTCAGACTCAGGCTCATAGGATCGCCATCCACGGGAGACCCAGATTCTTCTGCTCCTTCTGACGCCTCGTCCTCCTCGTCCTCGGAAAGGGGATGCATGAAGTGTACCCTGTTCATGTCCTTCACCTTCGCAGCCTTTGTATTGCGGGTCAGAAGCTTCTGCATCTCCTCCAGGCTGTCGTGTGCGATTCCAGCCTGAAGAGCTGCTTACACAACTCCCCCATCCAAAAGAGGATACTTGTTCCGCAGGGCAGACGGCCTCTTCCCTGCAGTCTTTGGCTTTGGCGACATGACTTTTGGAGAGCTCTTGACACTTGATGTGGGAGTTGATGTTGGCGGAGAAGATCTCGATATCTTTCCCACTGCAGTGGCAATCTTGTCCACCGCATGCTCTATAGCTTCCACTCTTTTCGCAAGCCCGGCCGATCCAGATGCGGCGGCCTTTGGACGCACCCTTCTCGCAGGCTTCTCGCGCTCCTCTTCTGCCAAAATGTCTCCTTCTTCTGCTTCTTCTGCATCCACTAAGGCTACTTCTTCCTCCGCAGCAGAGAAAAAAGCAAAATGATCTTGGGCAACCGCAACCAAGGCATCTGCTGACGGCAACAAAATCTCGTTTGGCACCACTCCAAAGACATAGTCGCAGTCGAACTCCTCCAAATGGGTTTCCACCTGGGTGAAGAACTCTTCCTTCAAATAGCCAATCCATAGCTTAGCTTTATATAAAGCTCTTCAAGGGGTTCGTCCAAAGCTTCGGGGCGACAAGCCTGAACTTCCACTAGCACTGGTTTGGCAAGGCACTGCGACGGCAAAACCCGTCGCTGCAGATTTCGATGCCAAACTCCAAAAGGAAAAGCAACTAGTTTCTTGCCTTCAAATTCTGTGATCAAAATGACCTGGGAACTGATTTGACCCTCTTCGGAGTCAATGTTGAATTGGCACACGCTGTAGCGCGTTTGTATCACTCCGGACAGGAACACGTAGGGCTCCTCAGACTCGCCCAGAGCTGGTTGCTTAAACAAGCTCATTTCTCGATGATGGCTGGGAAGACTAGCCCTGCCGCAGCCACAGCCTTCCTCGCCTCTCGCTCACTCGGCACACCAACAAACACACTGTCTCCAGGGTCGGGTCCAGCAGGCTTCACCAATGGCTTCGCTGTTGCCCAGGACCTCGTGACTTTGACAGGAGTGTAAATCTGCCCTGCGTAGTCACGCACAACAATCCACAGCTTGGACCCAAGCGGCAGCTTGTCACGCCCACTTGATCCACGATTGTCCCCGGCAATACACCGGCCCAAGAACAACCCGATGCCTTCTGCGATCTGATCTCGTTCCTCCCAAGACAGAGAGGGCGAGGGAGCAGCAGGAGGAAGAGGACCACGCTGCGGCGGCGCAGCAATTGCACCTTGAGAAGCGACACTGAAAGAACCTTCGCTTTCAGAATCCCTGGTGTAGCTTTCGCTTCCTGTTCTCACACGCAATGCAGCCAATTCCCTTCTCAACCGCCCAACTTCCAGTTTCAAAGAATCAACTTCCTCACGTAGCTCTGCAACTTCCACCTGCAAAGCTTGAGTGCCCGGGTGCATCAACAAAGCTTGTAGGGCCGTGGAGGTGTCTTTGGCAAAGACACGCTGGTGCTAAACACCTGTTGCAGCCAGGTATGAAAGGCCAGTCTCGCCGTCACCCAGGCCTCCACCACCAAAACCAGCACCACGCCCACAATCAAGCCAACCAAGCAGCTGAGGGCGTCGAAATGCCAACCTGCCTCAAGAGGCAATGGCAGAGGTTGCCTGTCTGCCCACGACAGCAACTTGTAAGCAACCGCTAAAGAACCGCCGGTGCTAAGCCCGTTCGTCACTGAACGCATATGAGCCGAAAGATCTGGCACCACATTCCCTTAATGACATGCCCTTCCATATATAATATTACATATATATATATTATATATATATACACGCAATCTCACAAATTCCTTGTGTTTCAACCTGTTTGCCACAGAAGTCGCAAGCAACTTACAATGGTGCAATTGCGTCACTGATCATTCCAATCTTATTAATTTGCTTTCTTGTTTGATCCCTATTTGATGTACGGCCCGTTTCCCATATCCACACTGCTGAGGGATACCGCTTCTCCGCAAAATGCATTCAATATGCACGGCACCTTCACCACCTTTCCATACCTCATACCCTCTTACCTTCGCTCATCTTCACTCCATCTCAGTGCCAGGCTGCAACTTTTTGTCATGGCGGTTGTGTGGCCGTTATGCAACCTGCAGCTGCAAAGCTTCCCCCTGTCGTGGGTATGCTTGACACGCTGCGCTGCTAGGGACCTGCTTGCCATCGCTTGCCATTCAAGAATAGCAAGGGTTGAAGCTTCCAGGACAATCAATGTAATGTCCGTCAATGACACCTTCGCATGTCGACATATTGTGTCGGCCTAAAGATCGAAGCGATCCAGCAATGGATCTTTGACACTAAAAGCCGAAGCCTCTGCCTTCAGGGCCGTTCGCTCAGCTCCCGTTGCGTCACGTGCACGCTCCAGCAGGGATGAGACTTTCAGGGCTTGGTCTTCCAGTTTCTTCACATTGGCTTCCACCGTTGTTACCCGCCGCAAGGCGTCCTGTGGCGACAAATGGGAGATAATGAGAGATGGGAGATGTTTGAACCTGACTTCACCATTGTATTTTTAAGCCCTCGTTGCGAAAACATGTTCCCCACGTCCCATCAAATAACAAACCTTGCAGTTGCCAGCGTACCAGCAGGTGTCACAACTGATTATTATCCACCCAAGCCAGTCCTTGAGTTTGCTCATGTCTGTCTCCAGGGATTGTTGCAAAGGGTACCTGTTTGGCTTGTTCAAACCAAAAGATAAACGTCTGTTCTCATCTTCACATTTAGATACATTTAGGCGTTCCACCAAATATGTATCAAAAATACATCAGGAAACCATGGAAAAACATGGAAAAACATCAGCGCTTAAACAATGCTCCGAACATCTCCAAGGCCATGCAGCGCCACCAAGTTGCTTCTTTTCCAGGAAAGCTCGGGCCGCAGCCTCGTCATCTGCCTCTAGCGCAGCTTCTGCGCGCTTTGTCAGATCTTTGATCTCGTCTTCCATGCGCACAATCTTTGCAGCTAATGTATCCTTTGCTTCCAGCACACCTCGAGTATCAGCTATGCTCACAACGAAAGATGAGAGCACATGAAACCTCCGTCTGTTAAAGCAAAAACACAAGCAAGGTAGCATTCCCAACTGAGTGGTTTCTTCAAAGAACATAAAGAACTCATTTCTGGCCACACTTGGAGGGTTGGCCAGGATCAGTTCTGATGTCATGATTTTGTGTCATTATCATCCCAGAAAAACGTTAAAAGAAATCAACACCAGCAAATGGCTGGCGCCACCAGATTGGAGCTGACATTGCGTGATCTTGACACTCAATATCAAATTCCCCCAAGCTTGGCATGCGAACAAAACGCGGAACAAAAAGATTGAAGAACACAAAAAGGCACAAAAAAATGCCCTTTACACCCAGCCGCGAGCTTTGCTCTCCATAGCATCTGCCAGTTCACGGCCTACTAGCCGTGCCAGCTGCACAATATCTTCATCCATTTCTTCCTCCTGGGGAGGGCCTCGGGAGTTCCTTCCCCACTCAGAGCCTAAATTGGCACCGAAAATGGCGCCAAAGGGACCCAGCAGCAAACCCCCTAGGACAGCTCCGCCCACTGCACCAGATAAGGAGCCCTCCTGAATCCAAGAAGATCGAAGAACGTTCAAAAGGTGACTGAATGTGACGCAGAGAACCCAAAGTTTGAAAGATAACTTGAAACTTAAGTTCTAAACCGGTATGAGTTATGAAAAATGAAAACCTTTGAGCAGTCAAAATGCACCACTCCTCGCTCTGCTCACTCTGGCTTCCACGTCGCGGCGTGGAAACACGTCCGAGGCGCTTCGAGATCTCATCTTCAGCGTGTCGAACTACCCGTTCTCGTTCGGATCGGCGGGAGAGGGGGCGACACCACAAGAGGCTCCAGGAGCCAATTGAGGCAGAGATTGCAATTGCCAGGACTGCCAGGAACCACAAACGTCGGGACCGCATGGTTGGCACAGGCTCCAGCAATTTAGGATTTTTGGACTTACAAATGCGGATAGATAATAGATGATAATAATAGATAACAACAGGTAGTCAGCAGGAAATAAAAGCAGAAACGAAAGTCCATACCCAGCTGTTAAATCAAACAGTTTCCAAACTTAACATCTGATCTCATGTCACATCATGTACATTGTGAAATTTGTGAAGCTTCGTAGTGCGTTGATCATCTCAAAAGCGCTCAGTGTTCATTTTTTGCGAGCCAGTGATGCGAGCAGTTCCTAAGCCTTTCACACGGTGACCATCAGCCAGTTTCAATATCGGACATCGGATATCAAAGGCATTCGAAATATTAAAAAGGCATATTTTTTCTATGCTCACACGGAGAATTTGCTCATCCGAGACTTGCACGCTCCAACCATGACCACCACACAACTCCCTAGGAGGCCCAGCCTGAGTGGAGTTAACCTCGGCGAACAGACATGGGCCAATCTTACGTAGTTGAGAACAACAGGGAACAAACCAGGTAACAGAGATCCCTCTAGTTATCTCTACTTATAGCTGAATTCCGGACAATGCTGCTGACTGGTGACAGCGAAAGGGCAGGTCGAGTTGTGAGGGTTAAGTTTGTGGGAATCCAACAAATTCCAGCTTCATAATCATCACAGAGCAAACCAAAACTCTGGAAAAGGTGTTTGCGTTGAAGGTCTTGCAAGGGCTTAGTTTCCTTTCCAATCAGGTTCCTCTCAGTTGGCTTGTTCCCAGGTTACGACAGTCTTCGCCAAAAAATATCCCGCATCAGATTGCAAGCCCAGAAACCCTGGGCGAGATCACCACGGATCAGTGAGGCATAAAATAGCAAAGCAAAGGCAAACATGTTTTGATGCTACAAGATGCTACAAGTAGTCAAATTCTTGTGTTGCAGGATGGACTCACAGGGAACCCAATCTGGGAGATTTCTGCCAAGCAATCAGCCCAATGGTTCGAACGACACCAAAGAATTACTTCTCAGAATCCAGCGTCAGTGAGGCTAACAAGGAGAGCAGCTGTCATGGCTGATGTACGGCGCGAATCTACACACATTGCATTGCTGAATTGCTGATACAACATGAATGACACAGTATCTTGCCCCTGCACTTGGCAACACAGAACAGCTGGATGCCTTCGGAAACTTGCGATTCTAAAGCATTTCAAAAACCAACACAGGAAAAGTCAAGGCACTTGAATGCTGCTGAATTGCTGCTGGTAATCTAAGTATAATGCCTGTTTCAGCTTGATGTCAAGCAACCAATATCCCTAAAAGAAAATGGGAAGCCTGGAGGACGATCTCCCTGCATTCTAGGAATCTCCAAATTTTGATCTCATGGTCTCATGAAGCAGACTAGGGCGGTCTTGCACCAATAAATATTCTACACGTATTCTTCTTGAGGCGGAATACCTAGAGAGACACTGGCTTCGGTTCATAGAAGTGGTCAGTCTTCCTGTGCCAAAACAGGCCATGATTGGAAATGGCACAGCAATCTGCATCTCGGAAGTCTTTGCACGTGCAGTCCATTCAGGTCTTCATGCATGTACCTGGATTCATACAGTCATGTCTGTCATGTCTCAATGAAATTCTCCTGTCAACTTGCTGCTTGCACATCAGGGCGCTTGCAGCTTTTCCTGGGTTTCTTTGCCGCAGGACCATCCTCTTCATCACTGTCATCCTGGGAATGCCAGGAGCACAGAAGAAAGACGGTGACTTGACAATTCTTTGAAATATGCCCTCGGGATATCTTCTTTCCACCAAACTACCCCCCCACACCGTCAGCAGCCCGCTGAAACTGCCCAGGTGCCATGTGCAATCGCCAAATCCTTGGTGCACTTGGAGATCATGAGCCCACTTTGGCTTTGGTAACATCAACGCATCCCTTCGAGGAACTATGTACAGTACTGACACAAAGCACCTACTGTACTTTACCAAACAGGCTGTGTATGTCATCACAAACCAAAGCACTACTGGCGTCTAGTTGCTAGACAGCTGCGAAAATCATCAAACATCAATCTTAAAATCTTTGTGTATTACATATATGGTATATCAATTACATATATATTATCATATATAAAGTAACAATCATACATACTACATATAATATATATATAGTAATATATACTGTATAATACATGTATATATATATATCATACATATACCCAGGGAGTCCAAGGGGAGGCAAAGTAGCGTCTTTCATGAGAGGCTAAACTTTGGCGTGACAGGTCAAACTTTGGCACCCTCAGGGGTCTCAGGGGGCTCAAACAGTAGCCCCATATACAGCTACATTACAACATTGGCTCTCATACATATGATTTTGACAATTAGAGTGTGAAATTGGGATGAAATTGATAAGACATGATAAGAAATATCATGATGACTCACCTTGGAAACCAGTTGGGTGTCAACTTTTTGTCTCTCGCCCGTATATATATATATATATATATATTATCAAAGGAAGTTGGGAAGCAATACTTCCGAGTTACGAATGACTTTTACTTGGTGCAATTGACTATGATGAAGGGTGGTAGATCACAGAACAATACATAATCTAACAATACATAACAAAAGAATAAGAAGCTATGGAATTGACCTTGAAGAAGGGTGGTAGATCACATAACAGTACATAATCTAACAATACATAACAAAAGAATAAGAAGCTATGGAATTGACCTTGATGATGGGTGGTAGATCACATAACAATACATAACAAAAGAATAAGAAGCTATGACACAGGGTGGTGACGAAGGGATGTGTTTTCGATGGAAAGTGGTGACGAAGAGAAGTGGTGACGAAGGGAAGTGGTGATGAAGGGGAGTGGTGACGAAGGGAGGTGGGGGCGATGGGAAGTGTTGAGGAAGGGAAGTGGTGACGACGGGATGTGGTTACGATGGGAAGCGGCGAGGAAGGGAAGTGGTGACGAAGGGAAGTGGTGATGAAGGGGAGTGGTGACGAAGGGAGGTGGGGACGATGGGAAGTGTTGAGGAAGGGAAGTGGTGACGAAGGGAAGTGGTGATGAAGGGGAGTGGTGAGGAAGGGAGTTGGGGACGATGGGAAGTGGTGATGTAGTTCTTGAAGCTGTGTGCGTAGTTCTATGCATTTCTTGAATCTGTGGTTACACATCGCATTGTAATGGCTGCATGAATGTTGCATGGGCTATGTTTTGGGGAGGAAGCCGGAGCACGAAACCGTTTGTTTTTCCGTGTACAGTGGCTGCAGCCGACGATGAAAGGTACCTCGTCTGTGCGACGGGTGCGGCTGCGGTCGTTTTGTGTGCGAATTGTTCCTCCTATGTGTTTTGCAACGAGTGGTTGTGTCTGTGTGCGTAGTTCTATGCGGTTCTTGAATCTCTGGTTGCAGATTGCATTGGAATGGCTGCTTCATTGTCGTCATTTGATGTTGCCACGTGCGTAGATAGGTGCGGGTTTGCCACGGGATGCTGCGAAACGCATTGTAATGGCTGCATGAATGTTGCATGGGCTATGTTTTGGGGAGGAAGCCGGAGCACGAAACCGTGTGTTTTTCCGTGTAAAGTGGCTGCAGCCGACGATGAAAGGTACCTCGTCTGTGCGACGGGTGCGGCTGCGGTCGTTTTGTGCGCGAATTGTTCCTCCTATGTGTTTTGCAACGAGTGGTTGTGTCTGTGTGCGTAGTTCTATGCGGTTCTTGAATCTCTGGTTGCAGATTGCATTGGAATGGCTGCTTCATTGTCGTCATTTGATGTTGCCACGTGCGTAGATAGGTTCGGGTTTGCCACGGGATGCTGCGAAACGCATTGTAATGGCTGCATGAATGTTGCATGGGCTATGGTTTGGGGAGGAAGCCGGAGCACGAAACCGTGTGTTTTTCCGTGTAAAGTGGCTGCAGCCGACGATGAAAGGTACCTCGTCTGTGCGACGGGTGCGGCTGCGGTCGTTTTGTGTGCGAATTGTTCCTCCTATGTGTTTTGCAACGAGTGGTTGTGTCTGTGTGCGTAGTTCCATGCGGTTCTTGAATCTCTGGTTGCAGATTGCATTGGAATGGCTGCTTCATTGTCGTCATTTGATGTTGCCACGTGCGTAGATAGGTGCGGGTTTGCCACGGGATGCTGCGAAACGCATTGTCATGGCTGCATGAATGTTGCATGGGCTTTGTTTTGGGGAGGAAGCCGGAGCACGAAACCTTGTGTTTTTCCGTGTAAAGTGGCTGCAGCCGACGATGAAAGGTACCTCGTCTGTGCGACGGGTGCGGCTGCGGTCGTTTTGTGTGCGAATTGTTCCTCCTATGTGTTTTGCAACGAGTGGTTGTGTCTGTGTGCGTAGTTCTATGCGGTCTTGAATCTCTGGTTGCAGATTGCATTGGAATGGCTGCTTCATTGTCGTCATTTGATGTTGCCACGTGCGTAGATAGGTGCGGGTTTGCCACGGGATGCTGCGAAACGCATTGTAATGGCTGCATGAATGTTGCATGGGCTGTGTTTTGGGGAGGAAGCCGGAGCATGAAACCTTGCGTTTTTCCGTGTAAAGTGGCTGCAGCCGACGATGAAAGCTACCTCGTCTGCGCGGCAGTTGCGGCTGGGGTCGTTTTGTGCGCGAATTGTTCCTCCTATGTGTTTTGCAACGAGTGGTTGTGTCTGTGTGCGTAGTTCTATGCGGTTCTTGAATCTCTGGTTGCAGATTGCATTGGAATGGCTGCTTCATTGTCGTCATTTGATGTTGCCACGTGCGTAGATAGGTGCGGGTTTGCCACGGGATGCTGCGAAACGCATTGTAATGGCTGCATGAATGTTGCATGGGCTATGTTTTGGGGAGGAAGCCGAAGCTTAGATGACATATGAGAAGAGATGAGATAAGAAGAGCTGAGCTGGGATAAGGTGAGAAGAGCTCAGATGAGATGAAGTGTGGGGTGTGAAGAGTGCAGTGTGAAGTGTGGGTCGTGAAGAGTGCAGTGTGAAGTGTGAAGTTTGGAGTGTGAAGAGTGCAGTGAGAAAGGGCGTGAAGAGTGCAGTGCGAAGTGTGGAATGTGAAGCGCGAAGTGTGGACT